CACTTTTTAAAGTGACTTGCCCTACAGTGAACATAGATCAGAAAATAGCGTAATACAAGATCTTTAAAATAGCAGTTATCTGTTCTTGTTTCTAACCATCTGTCTATAGTGACATGTTGAGCTTTTACACCAGCTGATCCATCTGCATCTCACTACAACAGCTTGGTGTTCTCTAGGGATGGGACCAGACACTTCTCCCATGTGATTATATTTAACGCAGACGTATCAGAATCAATAAAGACAGGTGAGTTACTGGGGTGGTTATCAAAAAAATAAATAAATAAAAAAAAGAAAGAAAGAAAATAAACCAAAATTGTGAATGAAAAGAAAGATTCAAGCGACTCACTTAAGTAACAATTTATCACAAATGTAAACAAACTTCCACCTTAAAGATATTTTACTTCTATGAGGTATAAACTGCTAACACATAACATATTTAGATCACCATGTTACCTTTTTTGTTTTAAAAATGTTATATTCACGGAAAAAATTTATTTCATTTTCGTTTTAGATGCTCTGAGTCTCTCCTCCCTTTGCTCCCTGCGTTAAGTCACTCCTCCTTCAGAGCGCTATCACAACAAAATCAGTGTGAATCCCGCTAATGAAACTACCGCACATCACATCAGGTTTGTCAAGTTGTATATTTATGGAGAATAGTCATGTGGGAGCATGTGTGACGTAGGCTTGAGGGCAAAGCTTTTCACAGAATCTCACACAGGGCCCAGGAGAGATCGCTAAATTACTCAAACATGCACAGATGACCTAAAACCTCTTCAGTTGTTTTGATGAGGAAACAACATTATAATATGGTAGAAAGCAGAAAAAAAAATCTATTTAGCATTATACTCGCTCTTTAAGAAGCCTCTGTACACCGGTGGCTCTTGCACCGCAGTTTGAGAAACACTGCTCTCATTAGTTCCTCCTTAAATGACCCTGTTAACTGGTCCGTAAAGAAAATGTGCCAAACATCTGTCAGAGCCATGTCCATGCTAACACACTGTACCTACCTGATCCGCATCACCTACAGTCATATGCTGCTGTTTTAATATCTCTTAAAGCTAACAGACCTACCTGATCCGTATCACCTACAGTCATATGCTGCTGTTTTAATATCTCTTAAAGCTAACAGACCTACCTGATCCGTATCACCTACAGTCATATGCTGCTGTTTTAATATCTCTTAAAGCTAACAGACCTACCTGATCCGTATCACCTACAGTCATATGCTGCTGTTTTAATATCTCTTAAAGCTAACAAACCTACCTGATCCGTATCACCTACAGTCATATGCTGCTGTTTTAATATCTCTTAAAGCTAACAGACCTACCTGATCCGTATCACCTACAGTCATATGCTGCTGTTTTAATATCTCTTAAAGCTAACAAACTACCTGATCCGTATCACCTACAGTCATATGCTGCTGTTTTAATATCTCTTAAAGCTAACAAACCTACCTGATCTGTATCGCCTACAATAGGGCTGCAAAATACACTGCAATCAAATCATAATCTCAATTTGAGTTGGTGCAATTTTCTTTTCTGTTTTTTTTATTTATTTTTTTTTTATTCAGTCATTATTTAAAATCTTATATTAAATCTGGAAGTTTCCTCTTTTTCCTCTCCAAACATGTTCTGTAATACATGGAATTCTTGGATTAGTTTAAAGTTTCTACACAAAACTGTCTCTTGTGAGCTTTAAGTCATGTATTAATGTTGTTAATTCCTCAAAAACAGACGTGGAGTTGTGTTTTGTTTCATTCACACATGTTTGAGCAACCCTTTATTATTAGTGTGTCTACATCTCCAAAGTTCAAAAATTCTTTGTTCCACCTTGTGATGTCACGAAGCGATAATTTTCAAGTTAACACCTACCTACAGGGTCTCCCCAGGTTTGACTACCCCAAATTTAAGACTTTTAAGACCTTTTTTAGACCACTTAAATGAAAATTAAGACCAACATTGCACCCATTCTAATAATGATCAACCAACTACAGTACTATATCTAGAATCTAAGAGCCACTGTGGATTAAACCTACACTTCCCCATGATCCATCCAATGTCTTCCTGCACTGTACTGATTGTTTACTCAATGCCGCCGGTATTGTTTGCGCACACTCCAAATTAGACGTTCATTCACATTACATGATTTCACATTGTTGTTTTTTTTATTTTTTATTCCCTCCATTTAACTTTGCACTGCAGCCCGGTTGAGTATACAAAAAAAATTAAAAAATAAAAAATAGGCTAATGAAATTTAAGACCTTGTGTCAAAAATAAGACGTGGACAACATAATTTAAGACTTTTTAAGGCCTTAATTTAGGAACATGAAATTTAAGACCTTTTTAAGACTTTAAAGACCCTGCAGCTCCCCTGTACATATAGCTCATGAGAGATTGGCAATTCCAGGGCTGAAATGATCCAAATGATTGTAGTGAAGGTGTATGGAGTTTAAAAACACAGTGGAACAGTGTTTTCAGTCTGAGAGAAGAACTCAGCTTAAACATGCAGGGTTTTTGTGTTAAACATGTGAATGAAACAAAACATTACTTTGGTATTGTACAGAAGCCCAGAGGGGTCACAACAAATGCAAACACCGCAAACAAATACAAATGCGACAACACAACAAAAAGCCACAACAAACCAAAAAAAGCCACAACACACCAAAAAAAGCCACAACGGAAATGACCGCGGGACTCGATTTGAATGCAAACGCCGCAACAAATACAAACGCCACAACAAAAACGCAAATGCCGCAACACATTAAAAAGCCACAACACATTAAAAAGCCACAACGGAAGTGACCGCAGGACTCTATTTTCCGACGGACCGATCAAGCGGCAAATGAAGAAGAAGAACTAAAACGTGAAAAGTAAAGGAACGGAGAAGTTGGAAATCTAAGTAAAAGTAATTTATTGTTTTATCATTATTAGTTTCACGTTGTAGTTCTTCTTCTTCACTTGCCGCTTGATCGGTCCGTCGGAAAATAGAGTCCCGCGGTCACTTCCGTTGTGGCTTTTTAATGTGTTGCGGCATTTGCGTATGTGCAGTGGTGTTTGTATTTATTGCGCCGTTTGCATTAAAATAGAGCCCCGCGGTCATTTCCGTTGTGGCTTTTTTTTGGTGTGTTGTGGGTTTTTTTGGTTTGTTGTGGCTTTTTGTTGTGTTGTCACATTTGTATTTGTTGCGGCGTTTGCGTTTGTTGTGACCCCTCTCGGCTTCCGTATGTTTGCGATGAGGAAACATTATAACATAGATCAGAAAATAGCCTAATATGGGCTCTTTAAAGTTCAGATTTGTGTGTCTCCGATGTGAAACAGAAAAATCACAAGTAAATGTTATTCCCAAAACAGTGCAGCCCTAGTCTACAGTCTTATGCTGCTGTCATAACATCTATTTAAGATAACACGTACCTGATCCGTATCGCCTATACACATGCTTGGAGTATAAAAACATCAACAGAGCGCCATCTTTCTGCTATTTCCAAACGTGTTAATTACTTTCTTCTAATCTCTAATTGGATACCACATGTATTAATTGATGAATGCCCCCAAAAATGCCAAGATCCTTCAAGAATTAAAGGTCAAATCATCTTATAATTCTGGGCAAATGTCTCTGTGAAAATCCTCAATAACATACAGTGCAAACCTGATCCGTGTCGTACAGTTCACACGCCGCTGTTACAACATCTCCTCTGTGCCATCCTTTTGCCAACAGTCCTACCTGATTCGCATCGCCCACACTTCACATGCACGCGTTCCGAACATGTCTACCTGATCTGCATCACCTACACACGAGCCCGCCGTGTGACATGTCCTCTAGCTGACAGCCCTACCTGATCCGCGTCGCCTACAGCCTCCGCGCTTCTGTGTAAAAAAAACGTGTCCCTTTGCAAAGTGCCCTACCTGATCCGCGTCGCCTACAGTCCCCATGCCTGCCTTTATAGCATTGTGCCGTCCGCATGCTAACCCGATCGGCGCACGAAGACACACACCCAGATCATGCAGTGCGCGGCATGTAAACAGTCTCTTTCTCTCCTCTCCTCCCTCGTTCTTTCTCTCCTCTCCCTCTCTCTCTATCTATCTTGTGCTCTCTCCTCTCTCTCTCTCCTTTTCTGTCATGCACCACCCACCGACGCTAACCAAAACATCCACATCTTCCCTTCGCAAAACCAGATAGAAACCAGGACCGAAACAGGTCTAAACACGGGACTAAACTAGAACTAAACCAGGTCTTAACCAAATGTAAAGCCAGGATTAAACCAGGACCAGATTTAGGGTTAAACAAGTGACCGAACCAGGACCAAAACACGACTAAACAGGGGACTAAACCGGATCTAAACCAGGTCTTGACCAAAGGCAAACCCAGGATTAAATTAGCACAAAATTTAGAGTTAAACAAATGACAGAACGAGGACTACACCAAGACTAAACCAGGACTAAAACATGGGCAAAATCAGGGCTAAATCAGGACTGAGACAGAACCTAATCCAAGACTAAACCAGGACTGAACCGGGACTAAACCAGAGACAAAACAGGACTAAATCACAGCTAAAATAGCACCAAACAGAGACTGAACGAGGACTAAATCAGGACAAAACCAGGACTACACCAGAACTAAATCAGGGCTAAAACATGGTCAAAACCAGGACTAAATCAGGACTGAGACAGAACCTAAACCAAGACTAAACCAGAGACAAAAACAGGACTAAATCACAGCTAAAATAGCACCAAACAGAGACTGAACAAGGACTAAACCAGGAGTACACCAGGACTACAACAGGACTACAACAGGACTAAACCAGAACTACACCAGGACTAAACCAGGACTTCTTTTTTCTATCCATTTCATTCAAAACACACATCTGTCCCTCCACCTTGAATGAGCAACCAAAATCTGTATTCATTTCTACTTCATTTTTGGAATATTTTAAATTCAAATCCAAATTTCAAATCTCCTAAACCCGCGTTCTTGTATTTTGTCGTCTTTTCCCTGGTTCTTACCTTGCAGGAGGCTCTGGAGGTTGAGCTGGGCTTGCTGGTGCAGCTCCTCCACGCAGTCCGGCCTGCTCCAAGACCCAAAGACGTTCACGCTCTGTTGCCATGGAGACCGGAAGTGCGCGCCGCGGTTACCGTTGCCGTGGCCGCCGCCTCCTCCTCCGTTGCCGTGGATGGAGTCGGCGTGAAGGTGATGGTGGTGATGGGGATCGGAATCCAGACCGCTCGTGGCTGTTGAGAGGAAAGGAAGGAGAGAGAGAGAGAGAAAGGGATAAAGAGAGAGAGGAGTGAAGGAGAGAGGGATGAGGGAAAGGAGGGGAAGAAGAAAGAGAGAGAAGACAGGAAGGAGAGAGGGAGTGAGGGAAGGAGGGAGAGAAGAGAGGAGAAGTAGAGAGAAGACAGGAAGAAGAGAGGGAGTGAGGGAGGAAGGGAGAGAGAAGAGAGAAGGAGGAGAGACACAAGGAGGGAGGGATGGAGGGAAGCGAAGAGGAGAGGAGAGGTAGAATGAATTAGGGAACAGGAGAGGGACAATGAGAGAGAGAGAGAGGAAGGGAAGAGAGAATGAAGGGGAAGAGAAGAGAAAGGAAAGAGTGAGGGGAGGAAGGAGAGAGGTAGGGAGGGAAGGAGAAAGAGAGAGAGAGGAGGAGAGAAAGGGAGGGAAAGGAAATGCAAAATAAAGTTAAGCCATAAACAAAGTAGTTCTTCGTCACTTTGTCAAAACAATGTACCAAACAGCACACATTTTACACACATTTTCTTACACTGCAACATCCTAGTTTTAACCTTTCAGAACAATGAAAAGTGTGGACTGTTGCCATAGCGATTAACAACCAAAATAAAACAGCATACAGTATCTTCCGCAACTGTCCTCAAAACGGCACCATAAAAAAAAAAAAAAAAACAGAAAGCTAAAACACAACAAAAACATGTATTTCAAAATGACAAACAACCAGAATCCAACTATAATGGCGTTTTACAATGGCATCGCAATGGGTGTGTTCTACATGTATAGCTATGGTGGAATGTTCAGCAGTTACCGTGGAGGCACAATGCATACTTTAGTGAACACTGACAAAAAAAAAAAAAAAAAAAGATAAGCAGAAAACTTCAACAAAAACCTCCAAATGGATTTAAAGAGCACATTTTCAGGAGCCTGTGATCAGTCTGAGTGTTCATGGTTCTGTTTAGGAGTTTGATTTTCAACAAAAAGGTGAAAGTGACTCTCTGAGCTCCAACTAAATTCGTTCTTTCTGGTCAGATTATAAAGATTCTTCAGATTAAAGTCTAATAGAGCTTTTGACAGTAGTGCCTTCAGTTAGCATCACTTTTGTTCACACACATGTCAAACCCTGCATATTTAGTTCTTCTCTTGAACACAAAACACTCTGTTCCACCTTGTGAGGTCATGTGGTAATACAGGAAGAACTACAACGTGAAAAGTAAACTTCTCCAAAGTTGGAAACATAAGTACAAGTAATTTATTGTTTTATCATTATTTGTTTCACCTTGTAGTTCTTCTTCTTCACTTGCCGCTTGAGCAGTTTGTCGGAAAATAGAGTCCCGCGGTCACTTCTGTTGTGGCTTTTTAATGTGTTGCAGCATTTGCGTTTGTATTGTGGCGTTTGTATTTGTTGCGGCTTTTGCATTAAAATTGAGTCCCGCAGTCATTTCCGTTGTGGCTTTTTTTTGTGTACTGTGGCTTTTTTTGGTTTGTTATGTTTGTTTGTTTTTTTGGTTTGTTGTGGCTTTTTGTTGTGTTGTTGCGTTTGTATTTGTTGAGGTGTTTGTGTTGTGGCGTTTGTATTTGTTGGGGGTTTGCATTAAAATAGATTCCCGCGGTCACTTCCGTTGTGGCTTTTTTTTTGGTGTGTTGTGGCTTTTTAATGTGTTGCGGCATTTGCGTTCGTGTTGTGGCATTTGTATTTGTTGCGGCGTTTGCATTAAAATAGAGTCCCGCGGTCACTTCCGTTGTGGCTTTTTTTTTGGTTTGCTGTGGCTTTTTGTTGTGTTGTCGCGTTTGCGTTTGTTGCGACCCCTCTCGGCTTCCGTAACTACCACTATGATGGGGTCGGGATGGGAACTAGGGCCACAGTCCGGGGGAACTGTGACGTCCCACACAGACGCACAACATTCGGACAACGTGCGCTCTCAGTCAGAGGCACAACATTTTAGAACAGTCTCCCACTATCAATAAGAGAAACTCCAACACTTGGCACTTTCAAATCCTACTTGAAACATTGGTTAAAGGAAAACCAGACTTGTGGACACTTTTAGTTTAGACCTGTCACTTGTTATTGTTTTTTCTGTTAAGCTTGTGGTGTTACCTGCCGAGGGACTACAGATGGAAGTGAGTATTCTTGCTATAATCTGGCATACTTACACTGCAATGTTCACAGTGTTGGGAAGGTTACTTTTAAAATGTATTCCCCTACAGATTACAGATTACATACACCAGAATGTAGTTTGTAAAGTAATCCAAGAAATTACTTAAAGTGAGTAACGTAATCTGAATACTTTGGATTACTTGATTTGCTGTAGAGAAGCAAAGTCGAGGAAATCTTCACATAAGATGTTTTGTCTGTTAAAAGAAAAAAAAAAAGCCCAGACTTTACTGAACCAAATTAAAAAAATATTATTGATAGAAGACGAGGAGACACAGTTTTGTACTGGTTTAGTCCTGTTAAATCCTGTTTTAGATCTGGTTTAGACTTGGTTTAGTCCTGGTTTAGTCCTGGTTTAGTCCTGGTTTAGACCTGGTTTAGACCTGGTTTAGACCTGGTTTAGACCTGGTTTAGTCCTGGTTTTAGTCCTGTTTAGTCCTGCTTTAGTCCTGGTTTAGTCCTGCTTTAGTCCTGGTTTAGTCCCTGGTTTAGTCCTGGTTTTAGTCCTGGTTTAGACCTGGTTTAGTCCTGGTTTTAGTTCTGGTTTATACCTGGTTTAGACCTGGTTTTAGTCCTGCTTTAGTCCTGCTTTAGACCTATAGACCTGGTTTTAGACCTGGTTTAGACCTGGTTTAGTGTCTGGCAATGAGTGGAATTACCGAAAAAATAGAAAAAAAAAGGGAATAGCCCAAAATGTGAAAACAGGAAAACACCGCCATGTAATCCATTTATTTCAACAAAGTAACTGTAATCCAATTACCACTCACTGAAACATCAACTGTAACTGAATACAGTTACTCATAATTTGTACTCTGATTGTGTAACTCCGGTACATGTAATCTGTTACTCCCCGACACTGAATATTCATTAATATGCACTGTCCCTATTAAAGAAATAAATACTACTAATAATGCAGGATTACTCAAATGTGTGAATGAAACAAAACACAACTCCAGGTCTGTTTTTGAGGAGATAACAACATTCTAGTGAAGTCAGCCAGAGTAAAAAGAAGGTATGGGGAGAGGGGAGGGGCCAGGGGGGCGTGAGATACTTGATAAAACACGATTGGCTGATAGAACACGGCTTCAAAACAGATGAGAAACATGAATGTACATGTGGGATGGAGGGATGGAGGGATGGAAAAGAGAGCGGGGGGTGAAAACATTTGAAAAAGAAAACATATGCAAATTTATTTCGAAGCGTCGGGTTTGGACGGCTAATGCCCAGAGACCGGATTATGTAATGTTCTGTTGTCAGGGAGAAAATGAGAGGGAGAGAAAAGAGGGGAGGAGGAGGAGGAGCGAGGGAGAGCGGGGAGGGAGGAGAGATAGGGAGAGAGGAGAGGGAGAGAAAGACGGGAGGAGGAGCGAAGGAAGGAAAGCACAAAGGAGAGGGAGAAGAGATAGGGAGAGAGTAGAGGGAGAGAAAGATGGGAGGAGGAGTGAGGGAGGGAAGAGAGAGGAGAGGGAGAGAAAAATAGGAGGAGCGAGGGAAGGAAAGCAGAGAAGGAGGAGAGATAGGGAGAGAGGAGAGGGAGAGAAAGACGGGAGGAGAAGTGAGAAGAAGAGAGGGAGGAGAGACAGAGAGAGAGGAGAGGACAGAAAGACAGGAGGAGGAGGGATAGAGAGGAAGGAGAGAGGAGAGGGAGAGAAAAATGGGAGGAGAAGCGAGGGAAGGAAAGAAGGGAAGGAGGAGCGGGAGGGAGAGAAAGATGGGAGGAGAAGGGATGGAGAGGAGAGAGGGAGGAGAGAGATAGAGAGTAGAGGGAGAGAAAGAGGGAAGGAGGAGCGAGGGTGGAGGAGCGAGGGAGGGAGGAGAGAAAAGGGAGAGGGGAGGAGGGAGATAGGGAAAGAGTAGAGGGAGAGAAAGATGGGAGGAGGAGGGAGGAGAGAGATAGAGAGAGAGAAAGACAGGAGGAGGAGCGAGGGAAAGCAGGGAAGGAGGAGAGGGAGGCAGATAAGGAGAGGGAGAGAAAGACGGGAGGAGAAGCGAGGGAGGGAGGAGAGATAGGGAGAGAGGAAAGGGAGAGAAAGAGGGAAGGAGGAGCAAGAGAAGGAGGAGCACGAGGGAGAGAGGAGAGGGAGAAAAAGCAGGGAGGAGGAGGGAGGGAGAGAAAGGAGGAGAACAATAAGGAGAGAGAAAAGGGAGAGGAGGGATGGAGAGAAGAGAGGTAGAGAGAAAGGACTCAGTGGAGGAGAAAGAGGAGGAGAGATAGGGAGAGAGGAGAGGGAGAGAAAGATGGGAGGAGTAGGAGGGAGGGAGAGCAGGAACGGAGGAGAGGGAAGGAGAGCAGGGAGAGAGTAGAGGAGAGAAAAACGAGAGGAGAAGTGAGGGAGGAGGAGCAGGGAGGGAGGAGAGGGAGAGAATAGAGAGAGAGAGAAAGAGGAGGAGGAGCGAGGGAGGAGGAGCAGGGAGGGAGGAGATGGAGAAGTAGGGAGAGAGTAGAGAGAGAAAGAGGGGAGGAGGAGCGAAGGAGAGCAGGGAGGGAGGAGAGAAAGGAGAGAGGGGAGGAGGGAGATAGGGAAAAAGTAGAGGGAGAGAGAGACGGGAGAAGGAGGAATAGAGAGGAAGGAGGGAGGAGAGATATAGAGAGAGAGGGGAGAGTAGAGGGAGAGAAAGACGGGAGGAAAAGGGATGGAGAGAAAGCAGAGAGAGGAGGAGAAAGATAAGGAGAGAGTAAAGGGAGAGAAATACGGGAGGAGGAGGGATGGAGGGAGGAGAGGTAGAGAGAAAGGAC